TAAATCAATTATCAATGGTCCTTTAATACCAGTGTATGTTGTACAGTGTTGTGTCTTGTTTATCCTACTGATTGATATGGCCCTTTAATACTTCCACCATCTATATCAATTACCAATGGTGTCTCATCGAGATCAGTATGTGTTTGACTTGCTGGTCTTCAAAGGTACTGTTGATTGTTGATTGTCTATTCTCTTTCTGAGGCAGCGACAGGCCAGCCAAGGATGGTAAGCACAACCATAACCTTATAAAAAGTAATTTAAGTCAGTAAAAATCAAGAGGGAGTGTTACTCAGTAAGAGCACGYGTGGCGAAACAGGGTGAAGGTGTACCTAACTAGATAAATGTAAATCCAACTGTAACTGAAGTTTTAGAAAAACGAAGGTCGGCCGGCACACAAGGGAATGATCATTGATTTGACTGATCATCACTGGAATTGACGTTAACTAGATTTTGGGGTTTTCAAAGCTGTCTTATGATCAAGTAGACTGATGGAGCGTTTACTTAGCACTTTGCATACGATTTTGCATCAATAAAAAACGTCATGGGCTAACACGTTGCAACAATGAAGGAAATCCGCCTAAAGACATGAGGTRCACATGTCGTATCAAACATTGTTGCCGACAGAGTTTTTTAGGCTAAGCATTCCACACCTGGCAATGAACGTCCCCCAAACACCCAAGGATGGCCAGTGGTACAGACGAATGAGAAAATATTATGAATATCTATTTTACCTGGCAAYTGTTCAATTCTTCATGRCGTACTTGATTTCATCTCTGCTTTGATCCCATCCATGAGTSGWTRCAGCCTYGTACACTTCCATCACAAGATTGGGAAAAYATTCCAAAAACACRAAGTCTTCGAGCAACATTTTTCTTATCGGTGTTGGTCGAGTGTCTTCGGAAACATGTGCATATGTATTTCTTATAAACCGTACTAGATCCACTGGAGAAGATGTAGAATAACTTCTAAATTTCTTTGTCTTTGTCATTTCGGCGTATATAGCAGGCATGTGCTTGTACTTTGAGTCATTCCAACAGCCATATTTGACTATGGTACGATGCTTCTTTTCAAAGTTTGTAGTCATAGGATAGGATATCCAACTGAGCCCAAATTCTTTCTGATTTCCAACAGCTCCAAGGAAATCGATCTTTTTCTTGCTTGAATAGCAAAACGGATGTTCCAATGCTTCTTYAGCAGTCGATCGCYCCTTTTCGTCACTTTYAAGCATCCATTTTATGAGGTGATTGGCTTCGGGCGAAATAGAGTTGTCCCATCCTTCCATGTTATTAYGCATTATGTTAGCTTCRGTTTYGTTAGYYAYTTGTGWTTCACTTTTATTGCGAACATCAGCYGGYGAAAAYGGGTGTTTTYGTACTGACAAGATGAAGTGGAGAAGCAGTCCACATGAAAACATGTCAGAAGCCATGGAGTGATCTTTAGAACCTTYTAATACCTCAGGAGCAATCCAGCATYTGGTACCTGCGTTAGTACCATACACGGTAGTAGAAGTACTATCCATACGACGGCTGAGGCCAAAGTCGGCTATTTTCAAACATAGTTGATGGTGCGTTTTATAGAGAATGTTTTGAGSCTTGAGRTCCCTGTGCAGAAACTGATTYTTATGCAAAAATCTCAAGCCTTTGACGACATCTTGGCAAAGTTTAGGGCTTTCTCTGGCATCAAATGTAGAATCACTGAGATACTCTTCAAGATTTCCTTCCATCAATTCTAAAACTATGTACGAAAAGTTTTCSCTTTTAAAGAAATKCAAAYAACYAACTACTTGYTCACAATAAGCAAGAGCGGYGAGACTTTCTATTTCTCKTTTGTCTTCTSGTCGCTGYATGCGCACATTTTCAATACGCTTAATGGCCACTTCTCTGCCGTCTTTRTCATKTATTCCMACAAAGATRTKGCCAAATGAGCCACTTCCTACGTGGTCTTTGTGGTAGTGATACTGGTCAATCATCTTATGCTCCCGTCTCCTGGAAACTTTGGCCAACTTATCCACATACCTATTGGAAACTGAAGTCCATGGGATGAGCTGTGGAATCTCGTCAATGTTAACTTTACTGGTCAAAAAGGGTTTCAGTGGAGGATACTTCATCGCAGCTTCCTTGCAAGCTTCATCATCAGCTGCTCCAAACCAGCGAAGGATTTTTATGATTTCAAGATGGACTAATGATGGATCATTGAAGAGTTCCTCACCTTCCTCAACTACCTCGTTTACAACTACTCTTCTCTTTTTCGGGCGCGATGGCTCATCATCATTAGAGCCTTCACCAACTTCAACTTCCATGRAAACTGCCATGTCTTGTTCTTCAATACTTAAGACATTATTGGCTTCCATTACATTTTTACAGCAAAATTGGAGAGCTGTTGCAGCAGAAATGGTCCTTTTCACTGACTTCAGAATATCTTGGACAAGACCTGTCTTCCAGTGCGTTCTTGTCGACTTGTCTTTACAGATGGCATTCAAAAGAGAATTGGTTACTTCTTCGGACCGAACGTAATTCTCCTCGCACTCCACATCAACCAATGATTTAGCAAGAATAAAGTTATCTGAGGCAACCAGAATGCCCAAAACAGATTCGTCTTGCTTGTCAGCTATCAGAGGATCAAATCCCATTTCAAGAACATTCTTCCAAAATAGTTTGGGTTCTTCAGAGACATCCGGATAGAAACAATCTGGATTTTCAAGAAATAACTTATCCTTTGCTGCAACGAGGAGAGCTGATCGTCTTGATAAATCCATATCGTTTACATTTGCCCCAGCATTTATCAGCATCTTGATAGCAAACCAGGTTTTGCACAAATGCAAAGGAGTTTCGTCGTTGTGATTTCTAGCGTTCACTCTGGCTCCACATTTCAAAAGACTATCCAAGATGAGTTTTAGAATACTCTGGAAAGTGTGATCATCTGTAAGTTGAGTGGTGTAGTCTTSTGRTGATGYYAACGCTAGTGATGCCCARAGGTGAAGTGGTGTGTTAAGATKGAYATCAGATTTAATGACAGCTACTTTAGCAGATTCTGTATGTACAAACAACTGCAGAAGTTCGATCACATAATTCAGTACTTCCTGTCTTTCAGTTTCGTCATTTAGTTTAAGACTTCCTTGGAAGAGCTTCATCATAAAATGGAAAACAGCCTCTCCATTTCTTGATGTTTCTTCAATGCTGGATCCATTTTTTACTAGAAATCTACAAACTTTTACTACAGTCTTCATTGCCGACTGTAACTTGCTTTCCGTAATTTCACTGATGCAAATCAGAAAAGGTGTTTGGTGTTGATGGTTTTTAGCATTAAATCGTACTTCAAACTTCTTCAATTGCTTACATAAGTCCATAACAGTTTCTTTGGAAGCACCCATCAATGGTGAACGAGCTGTGAGGTGCAGAGCAGTATTACCATCGGAGTCTGCACTGTCTGGATCCGCACCCAACTCAACTAGTAATTCAAGAGCTTTAGACGTTCCGCGGAAATCTTCCCTCAACACTGCCAAAAAACTTTCCATTTTCTTTGTTCTCTCCCACACATTGTAATCCACATTTTCCTTATATAAGCAAGATAATCCTTCAAAATTCCTGAGGTTGTAAGAGGATATTTCAATATTTGAACTGTTAAGGACTTCAGCAACATACTTTCTAAACATGATATTTATCATTGCCCGAGCGACACTTTCGCGTTTTATAATTCCTTGTTTCGTGAATTCCCGTAAAGCTCCATCCTTTATAGCATCACACGTGGAATACACCCCTGTTTGAGATATACAGTTGTCGATAGCAAACGTTAAGATATCGACATTGCAATTGTCTTTCAAGCGAAGACATTTGATGCCTCCCTTTTCGAGAAGATACTCAATGGCTGCCTTTGAAGATCCCAAGTTAATGTAAAATAATGCAGTACGGCCATAAATGTCTTTGACAGTTAAAATGTCCTCATTGGCTTCAATAAGTGCGCGCACCACACCTTCACCGCGCCAAGTCATTTGGACAGCATAAAATAGTGCAGTTTTTCCATACTTGTCAGTTATACTGACATCAGCCCCAGCCTYAATCAATGCTCGCACTACACCTTCGTTGTTTTGTTGCTGGACAGCATAAAGCAAAGCAGTTTGGCCATCATTAATAATTGCGTTAACATTGACATCTGCAGCAATCAATGCTTTAACTACGTTTTCTGCGTTATTTCTTTGCTGGACGGCATGAAACAATGCAGTATAACCATATTTGTCAGTTAAGTTGACATCAGCTTTAGCATCAATCAGTGCACGAACCACATTTTCGTTGTCATTTTGTTGGACGGCATAAAGCAAAGCAGTTTGACCATCACTATCAGTGGCATGAATATCAGCATTTGCATTAATCAATACGCGAACTAGGTTTACATTATTGGACTGTGCGGCATAGAGCAAAGCAGTCTTACCGGTTTTGTCCCTTTTATTGATTTCAGCTCCCAAATCAATCAATACACGAGCTTTCTGTCCCTTATTTTGTTCGCTATCAAGTAATTGAACGACATGAATTAAAATAGTTTGGTCATTCATATCAGTTATCTTGATGTCGGCACCAGCATTAATCAGCATCTGAACCACATTTTCAATGTAATAATTTTGTACGGCGTAGAACAAAACAGTTTTCCCATCACTAAATGAAACGTTTACATCAGCACCAGCGGCAATCAATGAACGAACTACACCTTCCTTCGTATGTCGTTGAACGGCATGAAACAAAGCAGTTTTATCACCCGGAGTCAAGTTGACATCAGCACCAGCCTCAATCAATGCACTGATGACTCCTTCGCTTCTGTCGTATAGAACGGCATCATACAAAGGGGTTTTGTTGTTACTGTCAGTTTTGTTAACATCAGCATCGGCACCAGCTCCAATCATTGCACGGACAACACTTTCTTTATATCGTCGTTCGACTGCCCAAAGCAAAGCGGACTTGCCATCCTTGCTTATGTTGACATTCGCCCCACGAGCAATCAATGCAAGAACCGTGTTTTCGTAGTCAGTGTTTCCTCTAGTTAAGGCATAACAGAAAGGGGTTTTACCCTTTTTGTCAACTACATCGACTTCAGCACCGGCATCAATCAAGGTATGTATCATACTCTCGTTTCTTTGAGAGAGGGCCCAAAACAAAGGAGTTTGACCATCACTTTTAGTTATATTGACATCAGCACCGGCAGCTATTAGGGCATGAGCCATAATTTCATTGTTGTTACAGACGGCAAAAAACAACGCTGTCATTGAAGAGTTTGTCACAGTTTGGTTAACCTTTGCACCAGCTTCAATCAAGGTGCAAACCAAAGATTCGCGGCGTTGTTGTACGGCACAACTCAAAGCACTATAGTTATTACTTGGGAAATTAATATTAGCACCAGCAGCAATCAAAGAAAGTACCAAACCTTCGCAGTCATCATGATTTTGTCTCATTACATGAAGTAAGGCAGTATTGTCATTTTTATCGCTAATGTTAACATCAGCACCAGCATTAATTAGTACTTGCACCAAACTTTCGCTGTTTCTTTGCTCCAAGGCATAAAACAACGCGGTCTTACCATCTTTATCGGTAATGTTGACATCCGCACCTGCATCAGTCAATGCTTGAACAATATGTTTTTTGTTTGCTTGCTGGACAGCATAAAACAAAGCGGTCTTTCCATAAATATCAATCATGTTGACATTAGCACCAGTTTCAATAAGTACTTTTACCACATTTTGGCTTATTCTTCTCTCCATGGCATGGAACAAAGCGGTCTTGCCACAACTATCAATCATGTTGACATCAGCACCAGCATCAATCATCGCTCGTGCTACATTTTCGTTGTCCCTTTGGTAAACAGCATAAATCAAAGGCGTTTGACTATTATACCTGAAACGAGTGTTGTTGACATCAACTCCTGCAGCTATCAATGCAGCAATTGCATTTTTATAATTAATTGACTCGATGGCATAACACAAAGCACACTTGCCATCATTATCAGTAATGTTGACATCAGCACCTGCGTCAATCAATGCACTGACTACATTTTCATAATTACTTGACTGAATGGCATAAAACAAAGCACTCTTGCCATCCTTATCAGTAATGTTGACATCAGCACCTGCGTTAATCAATGCACCGACTACATTTCTATAATTGCTTGACTGGATGGCATAAAACAAAGCAGTTTTTCCATATTCATCAGTAATATTGACATTAGAGGCACCATTAATCAATTCAAGAATCACACTTTCATTGTATCTTTGTTGTATGGCAAGAGCCAAATTCCTTTCCTGGCTACTTCTGTCAGTCCTATTGCTTAACATCGATCTAGAAACAAACAGTGACCTTCCTTTTAAGTTCAGTTAATTTTTTCAAGCCAAACTGAACTTTAAACTTCATTCAAAGTTCAATTTGGCTGAAAAAGTACAATATTACAATTAAGGTTCGAATAATTGATATTGATATTCCCCTTTGATATTCCAAAGTATTTTTAAATTTTTTAAAATACAATGTTCAATATCTTTGGGCCCTCTTGAGTAAAACGGTTCATATTTGGGACTTTAATTGCGTCGTTTGTATTTGAAAGAGGTTGTTTGTTTCATTCTCTTTTTTCTTCAATATGGACCTCATTGTATCTGAACAGAACTATTAGCCATTCTGAGGTAGAGGGAAAAACTGGGTGGAGTTGGCATTGAAATGCATATTCTGAGGCTCTTTTAGGGTACATATTTCAAAGATGGCATCTATTTCGTCCCCTAAACAGCCCCACAATGCACTGCAATACCTAAACTCAACCCAGTTTTTTCCTAAATCTCAGAATGGCTAATAGAGGATATCGATTGTGAAACACAAAGAAATGTGTGGAGACGACGGACTGATGTTTTGTGGGCAAGGGTTCAATTGCTTAGGGAGTGGCATTTTTCTTGACATGCACCCTTCATTAATTCTTATAAAGGAAATGTTGGGTATTTCTTCGTTCGGGTTGAGTAAACCATTGATTTAACCTAACTCAGGGCAATAGAACTGCTCCAAAATCGAACAAAACATATTTAGAAAATAATTAATTACATCCATCATTATCTAATTTGATATTAAAGGGACTCTGAGGTACCGGACAGATCATAGCTTAAAATTTACATCCAATCTTGTTGATTTTGAAAATCGAAATACAATTTCCATGAAATGCGTTTTTTGGGGTGATATCGTCCGTCAAAGTTGCAAAATAACTTAAGCTGGGCTCCCTGTGGAATATCACGGATTTGATGGCTTGGGATGTCTGTGGTGTAATGACGTCAGGTTGTGGAACATGCTGGATAGCTGAAGTTGAATCAGCCAAATTTCGCTATCAAAGTATGGCTGTTCCCTATCAATTTGAGCCAGAATTGCTTTAGGAGAAGAATATAATACACCAGATGAAAGTGTGAGAAGCCTTTCCTCGTTCACCACTTCTTCTAGCTCACTTCCTCGCTCACACTTTCATCTGGTGTATTATATTCTTCTCCTGAAGCAATTCCCAAGCCATCAAATCCATATTTGGTTTGGTGAGGATAATAAGAAAATAACATCAATTCTTTAGTTAAAATTATATTAGTATAGTCTATCAGGTAACCCAGTTTCTAGGCCAATGCAGCACAGACACAGGTAGCCTGTGCCTTTTATTTTTTAAATAGTAAATACCTGGTTTTGGCATTCAACAAACGGTGTTTTTACTTGTTAGAACAGCTGTCCATCAGAGGAAGATGGGAGTGATTCTTTTTCAATTTCTTGGCCTGGCTGTGGCATTCTTTAAAATCTTATACCTATTTTACTGAGCAAAGGAAATTTAATTGTGAATACATCATTATGAACTTATAAGTTAAACATTTACAATCATAACGTTGGGGTTAAATATCTTTAACCCCAACATAATTTTTTTATCTTTCTTTCTTTCTTTATCTTCATTTAAGTCATGCTAGCACTTTCGCACTAATTGGGGACACCTTTCACTCACACATGCTACCACTACATTCAATGTTCTATTGCATATAACGTGCAACTCACATGTTGATTTTTACGGAGAGAGGAAACCAGAGAACTCCAGGGCTTGAAATGGAATTTTTTTCAGCCTGCCATAGTAAAGGAGCATGGTAAAAGGTCATTCCAGTAAATTTTGCATGTCATTTTATGATTCATTTGAAAGTGCATCGTTATTTTTGCCTGCCAAACCTGAAATTTAGCCTGTGATTTGGCCATAATGGCAGGCCGCTATTTCGAGCCCTGAACCCAGAGAAAACCTTTGTAAAATAGGAGAGAAAAACACATCAAATAATCTAAATTCACATGTAGCAACTGAAGGGCTCGAAACCAGTGACCCATTCCGTTGGACTCACAGCGGTGAAAGACGTACAATGCATTAGCAGCATATGCCATCCATGCTACCTCAATGTCACCGGGAGATTGTTTTTTTTTATAGGTAATTTGTATGTAGTTCGTAAACGTTTAGGCAGCGTGACGTAAATTATTAATTGGAGCACTATACACTATATACTATGGGTTAGTGAAAATCAACTTATTTCATAAATAAAAACACTACACACTCATATTTTTACCGTAGAATATTGGATGGCAGTTGAGTTTTCAGGGACCTTTTCCAAACATCTTTATTTTTTGCCCTATTATCTAAGATACTGGTAAAAATACTGTGGTGTACGTAATAATGTAATCTAATATCTTATCTGGCGAAGAAACCAAATAAGTGAAAAATGAAAATGAAATATGTTCATTACGTACATGATGGGTTTCCTGTGTTATATTGGGTTTCCTGTGTTKCAAAATGTCTTCCATGTAATGGCTTCCAAATGTTGCCAAGATATTTAATTAACACAAATAATTTTACAAGTTTAGAAGAGTATAATAGTTATTCTTGACGTGAACATCAGTATTATAAGTCTTACAATCTTGTCTCTTCAGTGAATGAGGCAATATGTTGCGTGATGATTACATCAAGCAAGGCAATTTGTGCAAGAGGACATAAATGGAGAAGAAAAGTTGTGATTTTACATTTTTGCCAAAAAATATAAGTCAAAACCCACATCCCTTTAAGTCAAAATTCCCCATTCTAGGGCATTAACTTTAAATCTCTCAAGTTTTTCATATTTAACATCAAGCAAATATTATGCTGTGAAATAAATCAACTCTATAAAATGACATCCCCATCCTAGGGGATGCATAGCATATGAAAGACCCGACCCTTAAATCCCCCCCTCGATCCCGGCCCCTGGGCTTAACATAATGCACTAGTCAAAGTAAACCCCCACCCCCCCACCCAACCAGGGACAGGGTGGGGGCAATGTGGGGCATGAGATCACATATGACAAGCAACGATGCCCAAGGGGGTGCGGACAAAGTGAAGATTTTACTACTAGTAGTATGTTATTATGGTGGCGCACTAGGTAGGGGTTTGGTCGGGATTAGTTCAATCATTTAGAAGAGGCCTTGAAACTAATATTCCTAATAGGAGACCTGGAAACGAATTATCACTTTCAAGATTTTTGTGCCAGATACTTTTTGTTATTGATTTCTTGATATTAAACTTTTCAAAATTAGTAATTACTTAAAGGACTTTTAAATTATTGAAAGCAAATATTTAAAAAGAATTCAATAGTTCTAAAGCTTGTACGTTGCATGGTGCCAAATCTCTCTGCTCTGTTCATGACCAATTTAATATAGCTAAGATGTTTTTTGACATATTTAGCACACGTCTCATCCTTCAAAAGAGACATTCATCTAGGAAAATCTTGGTATCCTGAAAAAACTTTAAAAGTAAATTCTTTACCATTATTTATTATGGACGAAATCGCAAAAAAATCACAGCAAAAATCGCTAGTGTAAACGGGGCTTTAAGTATATTTCTGGTATAAAGCACACATTTTCTGAAAGCTTAAAGAATATAGATTTTAAAATGTATACTTACATGTAATATATGAGAAAACATGGCCTTATAGGGTGGTGAATTTGGTGTTTAATAATGTTCCTCTAGGTGGGGTATGTTCCAACATTTGCTTAGCTCATTTTTCAAATGCCCCACCAATCCCCACCCTGTCCCCGGTTGGTGGGGATTTACTAATTTGACTAGTGCATATTTAGCTGTGTAAATCAAAATTAAACAAAACTGTTCAATACTTAAAACCTATTCACAAACCACAAAAAGCTATTAACCTTGAAAGCCTTATCACTATTATCATTTGTTCATTTGTAAGCGTTTGAGTCTTCTTTTTTTCTGAAGAAAAAAAATCAACGCCATTAAGATTATCGACGCTATTTTGGCGCCAAAAYCTGAGGATTCCTTTCGCTTCCTCGAAGATTTTTATTTACAGTGTAAAAGAAACAAAAACTTCGCTATGAGCGAAGCAAATTGGTGGAAAAAGCAAAAAAAAAAAAAATTTTACTCTTCATCTATCTTTCTTGATGCTTCTATTTCGTAGAGCAGTTTTCAGTTTTCTAAGAAATTTACCCAAGCAGCAGTTTCATTTTTCTCGAAGTTTTTAAAAAGCTTACACATGCTGATTTTCCGCACTGAAGGATAGCTTACTCACCTTATTTTAACTCTTGGTGATCGTTTGACATTCAATTTTCCCGGRTAGAAAGAGATTGACTAACTTAGTTTAGTAATCTAGACACAGAAAACTAACCATGCCTTGCATGAGAGATCGTCCCTTCGAGCGACTCCTAGACTAAGACGGCTGCCACGTGTCATTGCATCACAGGATGCCCAACCAAGGTAAAAAGCTTTTGTAATTAAGTTGTGACGTATTTCCGCGTACAACTGCTCACACGAAAAAAACTAAATTGAAGCGAAAAATGTTCTCAATGATCTGCCTCCTATTTGAGACAATTAGAACAAATCCCGCCACGAAGAAAAAGAAAGAAAAATCTTATTGGAAACGCTTTTCGTTTTGGAGCCGGAAGTAGWTTTTCYAGTWTCTRSTTGACGTCCAAGGAATGTATGTAYACCAAKRGAAAATGAAAATTTCTCTTGAAGTACACCTGCTAAGCATTMTTGAACATGGGAAAAGTAACTATAGTGGATTTAGTTTTGAAATGCCATTTTTTAATGTACCAAAGATGCAGTCATAGTCCTATTTATTCACATTCTAATAAGCCTTATTTCATAATAAGATTTCACTGGACACTGGTTAAGGTACATGTAACAGCCCATGTAACACACGATATATCAGGGGAAATCATCATCATCTTCAGCCATTTCCTTAGCAAGCTCCATATCTTGCTTTTCTCTTTCTCTTTGTTCCTGAGTAATAAARTTTCAGAAGCGGCATGAATGCATATTTTTACTGCCAGAGAGAGGGTGTTGCATGCACAATATCTCTTAGTGCAGCAGCATTGCATTGCAACTTAAGGGAAAATCGCCTTGTACAATAGGGCCTTAAGGGAGAAGGGTCATGTGACCTTTTGGTGTAAGACCTAAAGTGAGCAGCTTTTGAAAGGGCAAAATGTATGTACTGATTCTTTTATGACCATAAAAAAACTGCTCTACTTCAGATACACAATATCCAAGGGTCCAGGGTACTACATTATGAATTATTAATCTTTTAAATTGTTAAAAAAGAGGAAAAAATAAAATAAAAATGAAATAGGAAAAGCTTATGCATGCTGCTGCAATAAACAACATACCTCAAAAGACTCCAAATTTTTGTTGTAAGACTTGGGAGGAAATCTCATGGCCTAGAAATATCAGAATAACATCATAARATAATATTATAATCCAAGATAAAGTTGTTTTAATTTTTTTATAATGATGAGAAGATGGTGTAAGTGAAAGGATGAGTGGATGAACAAGCAGATAAATGAAATAAAAAAAGAAACGAATGAATGAATGGGTGGATGAAAGAATTAAAAAAAAAATCATGATCTACTGGCATCGAGATCTATACATTGCATTATAAATTCTTATACTGTACCTTAACAGACTGGTTATAAATTTCCAAACAGAAGCTGATTCTYTGGTGGAAAGCACTTTGAGGCTCATTTGAAGAATAAATGTCAATAAGTTCCTTGAAGAAAAGATAATCACTTGTTATAGAAAATACTAGCAGCCAATCAGAGGCTATTACATGTATATATGACTGTGCAACTATGACAGTCAGAAGGTCTCTTTTTCCAAGCATTAGTGAACTTTAGAACTGACRATGAGTATGAGAATGAGTATGAGTTTTAAAATTGGTCCTGTGCACATACATGTAGTTAACACTGAATCATAGTGGACTTTCGATTTTTTACAATCTAAAGTTTCAATCTATGTGCAGGACCATGACTACAAAATGATATTGCCAATCTTTAAAAGTTCAAAACTCATACTTATTCTCATACTACGTACATGTAGTCTTTGGATCTAAGATCACCGTTATATGACTGGAAGCAGATGAGTACACACAGCTACAGTCAGATCTCGATTTTTCAGCAGTATACTCTCTGATAAGATCAAGTGATTTAGTCATCATCCTGTGCTGTGGTACATTCAATGCCAGAAACATGTTGTATGCTCAATACAATGCTAGAAGTTACATGTTGGGCATATTCAATGYAATAGATAACTGCATCTCAAGTTATTGCATGTATCATAAACATGATTAACACATGAAAATGTACTTTGTATGATTGTAGTTTTATAATGGGAGCAAAAATCATTTTAAAAGACTTATTCACCATTATTATTATTATTACTATTATTTATCTTCTTAAAAGATAAAAGACTTATTCACCATTAAAAGATAAAAGACTTATTCACCATTATCATTATTATTAATCTTCTTGAAAGACTTATTCGCCATTTTCCATGCAACTGAGGCTGCAAGGTTCAAATTTGAATAATCCTTTGAAACTACATGTAGTTTATCGAACCTCAAGGGAATGCTTCGTATGTGACTACAAGGGCAGATTCAGCCAAAATTGGGGGGGGGGGGRGGGTAAATTGAGTTTCTTCTGTCAACACAACGGAAAACAATAAAAAAAGCATCTAATTCTTCAGTTTTGTTTTGTTTTGTTTTCTGCTGTAGGGGGGCTTCAGCCCCTCTTTGCCCCCCTGGATCTGCCCTTGGACTACTGAAACGATGTTTGGATGATGGTGAATTGACCTGTAAGTTCCTATTTCCCATTTTTGTCTCCTATACCTTCTCTTTTTTTCCTTATTTTGTATTACTTCACCTACATGTACTTTTCATTTCATTTCTTATTTCTTTCCTTTTCTTTCCCTTTTTCTTCATTTCAGCATAGGCAGGACAACAAGATGGCACTAACCTTAGATTGCAATGTCCCATTTTCATGGTTGATGGTTGCTTCTATAACTCCATCTCTAATAGCCTAGAAATGAAAAATAAAAATGTTTTGTTTAAAAATGAATATAACTTTTTTAAACATTTACAAAAGCCTGAAATTTCCAATTTTCAAAGAAATATTTTTGCTCTACCACTGTTTTCATTGCTACAGTGAAGTTGCTGATTGAGACAAAAGTTGAAACAGGTTAATGGGAAACACACAATCATGATTTTATCATCCCTACTGTACATGTATGTACAGTACTGTACCATCTCAAGGTTCCCATGTACATTAGTTTACACACTCTTACAATTTATTTGATTGACTATAGTCTATAAAGGCTTTACACCATCAAAATATGGCAGCTATGACAGAAGGCACAGCAATAGTCTTTTCCCCTGGGAATCTGAATTCTTTCTCATGTAAACCAGATTAGACCAGATTCAATTGTTCCTGCTACCTCTATTGCCCAATAACCTTTTGTGAGAGTTTATCTTGATGAGTGAGCAACAATGAACAGTGGTAATAGCAAAATTATAGTATGACACAAATAGCGTGTCAACCTAACTTATTTTTTTACTTGTTAGTTAATCAGACAGTGAGAATTTGTGCATTTACATGTGAAATATCTCAGCGTGACTGCAAATATTTAAGATTCTTTCATACTCTTTGCASCCAAAACTTAAATAAATGGCTAGAAATTTGCCTGGATGATAACTATTTTGGTCCCTTTGCTGGCTAACACTGGACACTTAAAAAGTAAAAAGTCTTAAATTGATGGATYGAAACACTTGGGGGAAAGGGATTCAATGTCATTGATAAAAAAATAAGTTGTGTGGCCATGATTAAGCTTGTCACACTGTAAACTTCTGCTTTGTGGGCCTTTTACTACATGTACCTTGGCAACGATGAATTCTGCATCCTCAGGGCTGTCTAACTGTAGCTTGTGTGCAATATCCACAAGAGATATACGAGAATAGGACAGATTGATCATTCTGACACCTGCTTTGATCACATTATGACGTAACCTATAAGCAAAAAGAAAGGAAAGAAACTTAGAAGTCAATAAAAAGACTTGATTTAGAAAATCAAGAGAAAAACCCCACATAATAATAATAATAATAATAATAATAATAATAATAATATATTGAATTTGTATAGCGCAAATCTCTATTGGGGTATTTTCATTTGTGCTGAAAAAGGGTGGCTTAGCTCCCTTCCTTTATTCTAGTTTTTTTTCCAGCCCAGGGGTTGTTTTAGTGTATTGATAAAATGTTAAAGGTCTTATACACTCTRATTGCTATCCACAATTTCCAATAAAAAAATCAAGTAATAAGAACAATACCTGATGATTAGAGTGTAGGTTTTCTCAGCTAAGAACTTGTCCTTGAACTTCTCTACAACTTGGTTGAAATGCTTCAGATCACCAGTTAGAACAGCTACATGTACAAGTATGAAAGAAGAACATTTTGAGTATAGTCCTCAGTAAACCTTTTTAGTAAAACAATCAAGATGCATATTAATGTAGTTGCATTCAACTTTATCATCTTTCTAAAGAAGGTACCCTAAAGAATGCTATTTCAGCACAGCTTTTTTTGATATAGTTTTCTAAAAATACTTTTAAAAGTGGGTTTAGTTACAGCACACTGGATGCACAATACCAGGGCATGAAATTAACGCTCGCAAACTTGTAAAATGCGAGTGAAATTTTGTATTTAGCGAGTGACAAAAAGTTAAATAGATAAGTTTTGCAAGTATGACCACACTCCAGAAGTTGAAGGACTGAAAGGTTTAGAACCCACATCAAATTAAGCTTGTTATTAACCACGTCCGATCGCTAGTGACTTTGAAATTTTTGCTAATGAAAACAAAACTTACTAGCAAGGTTTTGCTAGTGGGTTTAAAAGTTAAGTGAAAACAACTGTCAAAATACAGTGACTTAAATTATCTGACATTCTATTCATAAATTAAATCATCTRACATTCTATCCATAAAGTTCTACAGCAGCCCCAGATGCCTGAGATTTGGCTCTAGACTTTGATCAGTGTAGAGGCTGCTTCATGGCAGGACTTGAAATATAGGCCAATCATCTACAACTCTTTGCCTTGCTGCTCATTTTGATCAGCATGAGCCAGTAATGAGTTATGGCAAAGCAAAAACTAATTTGGCTTTTCATGRCTGGTGACTGGCTGGCTGACATTTTAAAGTTTATTATTATCATTATTATTACATGTATTACTAAAGGTTTAATTCCCAATAGCCTGAATTGTTGTTCTGATTAATGGATGTCAAATGCCAAGACATGTTGGTCAAGCTAGTTCATAATGATTATAGAAATGTAATAACATCACTAAAATGTATGTTCCTTGTGTAGTGTTAGCTTACAAGAACCAGGWTACTATCACATCAGCTGGTTCTTAACAACAAGCAAGCTTTCACAAAATGATATTCTCCTCAACCCAAGGTGGTCAGGCATGAGCACTAGGCTTTCTGACACACTGACTATAAGGAGATTTGATTGAATAATGTACATGTAAGACACAGGCTTTGAWTGTAAATATCATTTTACTGGGTGGAAAACAATAGCCTAACAATTTAGTTTGGAGCCGTACAGGTAATTACAGTATTTCACATTACAGGCCACAAGTCATTCCCTTGAGTATTAATTCTTTGTTTACCTTTAATGTTCAAGAGGATACTCATGTATACAAATATTTAATTTTAAACAATAAWTATTAGCTTTATTAGGAATCAGTACAGTAGGTTGAATGGAAGATTCCCTCATTTTATACTGAAGAGAGCATATTGTGCCATTCCAAAAATTATCATATCTTTCCTATGATGGCTAATGGATGTATTTAAAGTCCTTGTCAACCATAGCCCTCTCAAGTGGTTTCAACTGTACATAGAGGTTATCAGTTGGCTAAGCATCTRWTAYGGCTGTGTATTTTTATGCACAGCCATATCAGCTGCTTAGTCAATTGAAAAGTTGTTTATCATTTCATTTTGCAAAGAAATKCTCAAATGCCCTCTAAACTCTATCAGTACCTGATCKYGAGCAAATGAGAAGTGCTGAAACCATCTCATGTCTTTTCCCATATCACGAAYATTCTTTGCAGAATTAAATGATAAGTGTACCCTATTAGACATCATAACCTTACCGTTTGTTAATTGGAAGTATGGCACGAGGGTCTTTCTTAGGAAGGGCTGCCTAAAGATTGACCTGTCTGGAATCTCCCCAAGCAACAGTTCAACAACAATTGCAAATTTATGGGCCTATAGGGAAAAAAGAAAATAAAAACTTAAAATTCTGAGCCATTCTAAGCCTGCTGTAGGACTTTTAATTTGACACTATTAACTTGTCATTCTAAAAACAAAAGCTGTGATAACTAACCTACTGTACCACCCCAGCCTGTGGAATCCCACATTATTGAAAAAAAACAACAACTCATCAGAATAAAGAAAGCTGTTTTACAGTACATATATGTTTGGCAGTATTCCACTGTTTCTTTCTATCTGGTACTGCAGCTAGCCTAGGTTTATTTTCGATTGTGTGGAATAAAATAGTTACATGTACATGCTTTCTTATGGTATCCATGGAAAATACCACTTGTCATTTATATTGTCTTGTATATACACTCTCCTAAAGGCTTGTGTTCGCTAGAAAATACACGCACTTGTGGGATATTCCATGGCCCAGTATACTAATTCAAAACCATTGTATAACTAATGAATACAATAAAAAACTTACTGTCTGCTTGAATCCATAAGCACTGTTTTGTGGTGCCTTACGGATGGCCTGGAGAAGGTTCTTATGGGCCTCAGAGTAGTCTAACTGAATAGCCTTGATAATACCTGAAATCAAATTTTATAAATTTAGTACCAATTTCATTACTACATAAATGTTTATAGCATACATGTGGGGTACAATGGCCGTAATTTAGCAAGAGAATTAGACAAATTTAACAAGAGAATTGGACAAAATTTCAACCCTCCCTCTACAACACCAGGATAACTTGAGTATGTGGTAGCAAGTAACCAAGACAATGGAAAAAAAAATAAGTTAACTGGTAAATGCTTTTCTTTCTGTAGTGTTTTCTACTACATGAAATGGACTGCCTGTGTCCACAGKAAGCCCAAAAACAAGAAAACTCACTCAAGTACAAGTACTGACAGTAAAGAGATGCCTGCTKAAGAGAAAAGGCTATGTTTATGGTACTGTAATTGTTGCACATTATGCCTTGGTCTAATTAGGGAGAGACTAATTTACCTGTGTAGTARAGATATCTTGCCCAGGCATTAGTTGAAGCTAAGGAGGGAAATGTTGATTTGGACACCAGTTTGTCAGCCTGAAAATACRTGCAAATAAATTAGACACCATTGAAAATGGTGATTTTTTGCTGTGATAAGATGACAAAATTAAAAGGTGTCTAATTTGGAGATGAMACACATATTGGGCCACGAGTTTATTCACCTAGTGCTTAGAACTTTGTGACTGGCAA